CACTTAACAACAACAACAAAAGCAGGTGTTGGTGTCACTTCCCAAGCGGGGGGGTAGGGAAGGCAGCTGTAGGTTACAGGTTTGCCTAGAGCTAACCTGAGTGCCAGTGAAATCCTAGCAGTTTTTCCTGCTGTGAAACCAGACTGCAGGCAAGGATCTCAGCAATAATTTATAAGGCTCCTAAACCATTGACTGCCACTTTTCTTAGTTAAGTTTTTGGAGCTAATTCAAACTTCCGAGACTGTCCTTTTTCCTTGGTATGTCTGCTTGTTCAGGTGGTCAGACAATATTATTTCACAGATGATACTAGTGTTATTTAAGAGAGATGATTCTGAAATAATGCATCATGACCAAAATAATAATGAGTGGTTAATTTTTGCTTCCCTCTTCAAATAGGAAAGAACGCCCTATATCATTAGGGATCTTCCCTTTGCCTGCGGGAGATGGACTGCTTACACCTGACACTCAGAAAGGAAGTGAGACTCCTGGATCAGAACAATGGAAATTTCAGGAATTAAGTCAACCACGTTCTCACACCAGTCTAAAGGTAAGCTGTATTCTACCTTACTTTCTGTTTTCTTTTTTTTCCTCTTTTGTTGTGCTTTAGATGAAAGTTTGCAGAGCAAACTAGTTTCTCTTTTGATAGTTTGTACATAAAGTGTTCTACAACCTGGGTTGTATGATGCAATATGTTACCACTCTCCCCGTTTCTGCCTTAGCTTCCCAGTTTCCTCTCATCCGGTTTTTCTACCCCTTCTTGCCTTCTCAGCTTTGCTTTTGGGCAAATATTGTCCTGTAGACTTTGTATATTTGATTCCTGTCTGTTGTTAGGCTGAAAGGTAGTTTGGGGTGATGGATTCAGTTTCAGTCAGAAGGGGCCATAGTCTTGAGGAAGTCCTACAGTCTCTGATAGACCAGGGAGTCCCATTTTTTGTGTGAATTTGATTTTTTGACTCTGTTCTGGTCCCAGTCAGAATGATCACAGTGATAGCTGGGCGCCATTTAGTTCTTCTGGTCTCGGGGCTGTGGTTCATTTGTTCCATAAATCCTTTGGACTAATCTCTCGCAAGAATCTTTAGTTTCCTTCACTTTTCTTTGATCTGGACAGGAAAAGACCAATAATTATATCCTATGTGGCCACTCACAAGCTTTTAAGACACCATATACTACTCAACAGAATAGGATGCAGAACCTGGTCTTTACAAGCTGTATTGTGCCAATCAGTGTAGGTGTCCTCCAAGTCTATGGTTCTTTACCTTTGAGCCTGGGAACTTTGCCCCCCAAGGCATTTGGTTATGTCTGAGATGTCTCCTTGACTGTACCACATGTGTGCTCTATTGTCTGTGTTAATACACATGCAGCACCTACAATTATGTACTTAGAAATACTAACAATCAGACCTGTATCTGCGGTGGGTGTGCTCCCTTTCAGTCTACCACGCTTCCTTAGCATACTTACCTACCAATGTGTACATTTGGAAATTATTGTTTGTTCATGCTACTGTTGCAGGATTGTCTGTGTTACAGTAATTACCATTTAAAACAAAACACTGCCCTTGAGTTGATCCTGACTTTAGGACAGAGTAAACTGCTTCATAGGATTTCCGAGACTATAAATCTTTACAAGAATAGCGTCATCTTTCTCTCACAGAATAGCTGGTGGATTTGATTCACCAATTTTGTCATTAGTAGTCCAACATTTAACCCACTGCTCCACCAGGGCTACTAAATTAAATTCTTGTGTTCTGGAGTATCTTCCTTTGCCTTGTCATGTTGTGTGGACTTTCCCCTATATTAATTTATATTTTATAGGCTTCTTACTCTAACTGAAGGACTAGACAGTTAAAACATAATACAATTAGGTAAAATTTTGTAATTTTGTAAAATTGATCTTCAACTTTTTTGCTGATCCTCCACACTACCAAGCATGATGTTCCCCTGATAACTTCATGTCTGAAATATGAGAGATGAAGTCTTGGCATCCTGTATTCTAAGGAGCATTCTGACTATACTTCTTCCAACACAGATTTGTTTGTTCTTTTGGCAGTCCATTGCATTTTTAATAGTCTTCTCCAACACCATAAACTCAAATGCATAAATTCTTCCTTATTCACTGTCCAACCCTCACATGTATGTGAGGCAATTGAAAATATCATGGCTTGGGTCAGGCATAATAAAATATGACTTTAATATATTAGGTTACATAATAGGAATTTAGCATAACCCATTGCCTCAAGTTTATTCCAACTTATAATGACCCTAACTAGGGTTTCCAAGTTCTCTTGTGAGCTGCTGGTAGGTTTGAATGACCAACCTTGTGGTTAGAAGTCCAGTGCTTATGCTATAGGGGCTTACTTACCAAGGCTCCTCAAGTTTAGCAACCCAATTATGTTTTCTAGAATTGAAAAATCGTTGTCACCTGAAATCCCTTGGTTCACTGTTGGATGTTTCACAATTTAGTTGGACTCTCTCTTTTTTTTTTTTAAACTTTTTTTATTATAAATTGAATGAAGGTGTACAGAACAGATCATTATTTAACAAATCATAAGCTTTGCTTCATTATGTGGTTGCAATCCCTTCCATGTACCAGCAGTTAACGACATTTACCTCTAACCGCTGCACTCCTTCCTGCCTCCCCCTACCTTCATCTTTTCTTCAGCTAACATCTCTCTTGTGTATTGCCTGCCCTGTCTCCCAATCATGAATAATTTTCCCTCCCCCATCCCTGCCATAGCCATCATAGATTGTTTCTTTTATTAAGAGATGTTTCATTTTTTAAAACTCTTTACAACATTGGTCTCATACAATGTTTGTCCTTTCATGGTAGACTAATTTTGTTCAACATAATGTCCTCCAGGTTCAGCCATGTTGTGAGGTGTTTCATAGATTTATTGCTATTCTTAAACATTTTGTAGTATTCCATTGTGTGTGTGTACCAAAGTTTGTTTAACCATTCTTTCTTGATAGGCATTTAGTCTGTCTTTATCTTTTTTATATGCCTCTTGTAGACAGCATATTAAAGGATCCTGTTTTCTACCCATTCTGTTCTTTATGTCTCTTGACTGGTAAATTTAATCCATTTACATTCATTGTAATTATCAATAGGTATGAATTGCTTGTTGCCATTTTTCTGTATATTTTTTGTGGTGCTGCTGGATTCTTTGTTCCACATAATTTTCTATGCTGAGTCCATTTTCTTTATGGGGTTTCATGTCATTTTCATTTCTGTTGTGTTAATGTTTAACAAGTTTTCTGATTTTCCTTTTATTAATTTTGGTATGCAGATGTATTAGTTTTCTTTGATGCTACCCTGAAACTTATTATATTTTTCCCTGCTTAATACAGTCTGTTTTATCTTGAAATCTACTTGACTTTCTTACCATTTGGAAGTTCTGTATCTACCCTATTCTCTCTCTTTGCTTTGTAGTTGACTTCAATACACATTGATATATCTGGTTCCCTATTTTCAGATTTGTAGGTTTGTTTTGCTTTAATACTTCTGTATCTGGATTGATTTTTGGGTGATGTCGTGTATGGAAGTCTCAGGTTGTTATCTGCTATTGTTGGTTCTCAGTCCAAAGAACACAGTTTAGCATTTTTTGTAAAGTGGGTCTGGTCATTACAAATTCCTTTAATTTCTGTGTATCAGAAAATGTCCTAATTTCACCCTTATATTTGAGGGACAGGTTTGCTGGATATATGATTCTTTAAGGAGCTCTGGTTTGGTTGGTTGTTGGTTATGTGCCGTGGAGTCGGAACCGACTCATAGCGACCCTGTACAGGGTTTCCGAAGCTGTAAATCTTTATGGGAGCAGAAAGCCTCATCTTTCTCCCGCGGAACAGCTGGTAGTTTCGAACTGCTGAAGGAGCTCTGGTAGCGTAGTGGTTATGAATTGGTCTGCAAACCTTAAGGTCAGCAGTTCGAAATTGCCAGCTGTTCCGTGGGAGAAAGATGAGGCTTTCTGCTTCTGTAAACAATTACAGCCTCAGAAACCCTGTATAGGGTCACTATGAGTCAGAACCGACTCCACGGCACATAACCACCACCACCACCATTGCCTTCTTGCCTGCATGATTTCTGCTAAAAAATCACAGCTTAGTTTTATTGGTTCTCCTTTGTAGGTAACTTAGTTTTTCCCAAGCTACTCTCAGGATTCTTTCCTTGTCTTCGATTTTGGCAAGTTTGTTTATGATATGTCTTGGTGATTTTCTTTAGAGATCTATCCTGTTTGGTGTTCGTTCAGCTTCATGTTTCTTGATGTTAATTAAGGAAGTTTCCTTACAGCAACTCTTCGACAGTTTTTTCTGTGTTCATGTCTCTCTATTCTGGAATTCCGATCATCTGCAAGTTGTTGCTCTTCATAGTGTCCCACGTAACTCTTAGGCTTTCTTCAGATTTTTTTCATTCTTTTTTTCTGATCGTTCTTCTAGCATACTAGTATTGAGAGATTTCTCTTCAGACTCACTCATTTGGGCTTCCATTGCTTCTCATCTACTCCTTGCCCTTTCAGTGTGTTGTCCATTACTGAGATCTCAGTATTAATCGCCTGGATTTCTAATTGCAGGCTTTGTATTGTTTCAAAATTTGCATTTATTTTTGTTTGTTATTGTAGTGTTTTCCTGAATTCTTCCAAAGTTTTTATTGTGTTCTCCTTGCTTCCCTCAATCCTCTATTGATCGTTTGAAGGTACCTAGTTATCATTCTATTGAATTCTTTTTCAGTTAGTTCCATTACCTTATCTTCCTCAGAATTGTTTTCTGTCTCTGAATCTTGCTCATTTGTTAGAGCCATTTTTTTCTTGTTTCTTTGTGTGAGTTAAAATTGTCTGTTGTCTCTGGGGCATTGTGGGTTGTTATATAAGTAAAAACAAACAGTGCAGTTGCTGGGCCCAGAGGGGAGAAGTCTCTGGGGGCTTCTGCAATTCAAAGAACCTAAAAGGAGATTGTTGAAGGGATGTTAACAGCCAGAGTTCCTGGCCCTAGATGGAGTTCCTATTGGCCTTGATGTTATCTCTGTTAAAGACACTCAGTCTGATAATAGTTCTCGGGGTCTTTGATGGAGTTGGTTTCAGTGACTGTTAGACCACAGGGAAGCTGGGAACAGGATAATTGGTTAAATGCTGGTCTGGTGGCACTGCAGGTTTTGTTGGTCTGGAACTGAGCCCCCCTGAATCCCTGCACCAAATAGGTATACCAGAACAGTGCAGTTGGCCCTGGCCCCTACCTCACACTGACGTGGCTCCAAACCACACAGCTCTGATCTACTGAGGATCTAGACTGGGATGGATGAGAGTGAGAGCTGGCCACACATCTGGTCACCAGGGGAGCGTGGGGAAAAAGAAAGAAATCACACATTTTCTGTCACCCTCGTGAATCTGCTCTGCCAGGCCTCCCCTGGCTTCCAGAGCTGCTCACAAGATGGTCAAACCGCAGCTTGCCAGCTGTTCATCAGTCAAGTCTCCCGCTCCCAGCCTTCCTGCTCAGCCTCTCCCCCCAGCAAGCACTCCATCCACCTCTCTAACCTTTCTCAAGTTCAGGGTACCAGAAT